CCCCCCCCCCCCCGAGGGCACAATTTTTTGTGCCCCGCGCCTCTAGTATATATATATATATATATATGAAGAGATATAGCCAGGTTGGACCAAAAGGAATAGATATAGTGCTAAATAAAAAGAGGCTACTGGACTCCAAAATTCTACAGTAGGATTCAGGCTGAGAAAATTATTCCTTCTTCCCTCCCTCCCTCCCTCCTTCCCTCCCTTCTTCACCTCCTTCCCTCCTTTATTTTCTAAACAGGTTGATTCTAAAGTTTATATAGACTAGGCAGGAAAATTATGAAAAATGAAAGTGTTTAGGGGGACCAGACCCCCAAAATTATCATCTATAATATAAACAATATGTTTATAATATAACAATTAGACTACAGATACTAGAAATTGGATACAAATACATATATAAATGTAGTAGATCATCAAAGTGGCATTTTAAGTTGGTAGCAAAAATAACGATTTTCTCCTCTCTCTAAAAATCAATGGAAAAAAATATCCTTGGGTAATGATTCACAACAACAACAAAATGTAAATTATAATGCAATTCTAAAAATTCAAAGAACTCCAAATTTTAGAATAAGAGAGTTCAGTAAAGTTACAGCATACAACATCAATAGTAGTGTATACATTAGCAATAGCCAAATTGAAAACACAGGAGAAAAATTACCTCATTAATAATGGCAACAACAACAAAAATTAAGTGTCACCTGTACCATGAAGAAAATAAAAAAAATACTGAAGAATATTTTAAAAAAGACATAACAGATGGAGAGCTATACTATATTCATAGGTGCTAAGATCTAACAGTGGTTCTCAACCTTCCTAATGCTGCGACCTTTTAATACAGTTCCTCATGTTGTGGTGACCCCCAACCATAAAATTATTTTCGTTGCTATTTCTTTTTTAAAAAAATATATTTTATTGATTTTTTACAGAGAGGAAGAGAGAGGGATAGAGAGAAACATCGATCAGCTGCCTCCTGCACACCCCCTACTGGGGATGTGCCTGCAACCAAGGTACATGCCCTTGTCCAGAATCGAACCTGGGACCCTTCCGTCCGCAGGCCGATGCTCTATCCACTGAGCCAAACCGGTCATGGCTCGTTGCTGTTTCATAACTGTAATTTTGCTACTGTTATGAATCATAATGTAAATAACTGATATGCAGGATGTATTTTCAGGGGTCGTGACCCACGGGTTGAGAACCACTGAAAAGATGTCAGTTCCCATAAATTAACAAATATAATGTCATTCTGATCAGAATCCCAACAAAGTTTTTCATGCCACTTTACAGGAGAATGCAAAGATGTATATGTTGAGTAAAGGGCAAGAATAGCTAAGATAAGTTTAAAGAAAAAGATGTGGAGACTACAAGGTGAGACTGGCCCTACCAGATATCAAAAGGTATGCTAAAGCCACAGTAATTAAGACAGAACTTGATATAGAGATAGAGAACAATGCCATTGGAAACAAATGGAGAGCCCACAAACAAACCGATATATACTATAGTAAAACCCGGTCTTAGCTAGGTTTCTGAGGCTATCTTCTATGTATCAACAGCAGCATTTCAACTTTCTACTTTCATGTGGGCATCTGGATATGACCTACTTACGTATCATCATCATCATCATCATCTCTTGGTTCTGGTTGTTCCTCATCTACTTCCATGCCAGAGGCCATTTCCACCGTCCCCTCATTTTCTTTAGGAAGCCATTGTTTTAATGTTCTCACTGTTAAAGAAATGACAGAGAGATTAAATCATCCCAGTCAATACACCTGAAGAGGGGTATGTACCAAAAACCATATATTGAACATCAAACATAATGTTAAAACCTTTTAAATGTTTTGAAACAAATAAGACAGGGATGACAACTGACACCCCAACTATTTTCAGCATTGTACTAAGCTAGTAGGCAACACAATAAGACAAGAAAAAGTGAGAGGAAAAAGGATCAGTGATAAAGAGACAATACTCCCCACTTTGGGAGTAGATGCTTTGATTGTATAAAAATATGTTTTAACCTTGTGTTGTAATAACCTAAGAATTGCCAACATTATTGGACCACCCTATTCTTCACTGTTTCTAGAAAATTAGTATTCAGCTCATTGTTAGCTTTAATGATTAATGTCTGCAAAGAAAACTCAAAACACATACACACACAACTTTATCTTTTTTGGTGGAGGGGGTGATTTATTGTTGTTATCTTAAATGTAATTTTTTTCTTGAAAATGATCAGACTAGTACAATATTTTGTTTCCTTATGGCAATGCAGCATCTCCTCAACAACTCTATAAGATGTATTTTTATGCACCAATAGTAAGGAAAATGTTGCCAATAAAATGACACAATGTTTTCTTAACCTTAAGACCTCTTTTAGTACTTTCTAAGCATATATTTTTTATCTTATATTACTTTTTATACTCATAAAAAGGAAAATATAAGTAAAACAAATTGGATAAGGTATAACTAAAATTCTTCACATTCAGAGTCTTACTCCTCTGAATTATTTATCCTTTTATGTATCAGTTAAACTTTTTTGGATCCTGATTCAAAGAGACCATAATAAAACAATGAGACAAAGAATTTTAGATGACTTTTTTTAAGTCATTGATATTTGTGTTTTTAATGGTAAAAAAAATAACATAAATTTACCCACTCAATTTTTAAGTTAACAGTACAGTGTTATTAAATATAGGCATATTGTACCGTCTTGCATGACTGACACTTTATTCCCATTGTACAACAAGTCTCCATTTCTCCCTCCCTGGAGCCCTTGGAAACCACCATTCTACTTTCTGTTTCCATGAATTTCACTATTTCAGATACCTCATATAAGTGGGATCATGCAGTATTTGTCTTTTTGTGATTAACTTATTTCACTTAGCATAATGTCTTCAAGTTTCATCCATGTTGTAGCATATGATGAATTTTTTTTAAAAGCTGAATAACATTCTACTGTACATATACACCACATTTTCTTTATCCGTGTATCCATTTAGATTGCTTCCACATCTTGGCTATTGTGAATAATGCTACAATGAACATGGGTGTGCAAAAATATCTCTTTGAGGTTTTGTTTTCAATTTTTTTGGATATATACCCTGAAGAAGAATTGCTGGATCATCTGGTAGTTCTATTTTATTTATTATTTTTTAGGAACCTCCATACTATTTTCTATAATGGATGCACTATTTTATTTTTTTACTTTATTTTTTGGAGGGGTACCAAATTACCTTATTTGAAGGGAAGGTACAAATGAAAGAATGTAAGTGGATGATTTGGTACAACTCATAGCAAATGTAAAGGTAACTCCAACATGCAGATACTGCTTTGGTGACCACATCAGTCACCCCGTGGCTGTGGGAAATCAGCCTACGGCTTAACTCTCATCACTGTCTCCCAGGGTGTGCTTGTCAAAGAGATACTCAGCTGTGCCAAATTGGGGTGGGGGAGAAGGCATCTTGCACAACTTGGTTTTCCCCTCCTCATTAAGTCTCATTGAAGTCATACAAATAGGGGTCGTTTTTGACAGTGGCCAGTTTGTGCAATTCCAATAGTAACTAATTCACACTTTTTTCCAAGTGCAATGCACATTCCATTGCATTTAGCCCATTCTCCTAGTCTGCATGATATCCTGAAGGAAGATTCCACCAACTCTTTGGATCTGCAGCTTCATCAGTTTTTCAGCACGTTCCCCCTTCTCATGAGATTGGTAAAGAAAATATTTGACAAAGTTCTTTAAAGCCACATCTCGGCCAAAGTAGTAAGACATGGGCAGGTAGATGTAGGGAGCATAGAGTTCCAGGTTGTTCTGGTGGTTGCTGGAGGCCTCTTGATCCTGGTGGTAGTTCTGGCGTACCTGCGAGGGGGACACCTGGCTGAGGAGAAGCAGCAGCAGAGGTGGCAGCTGAGAGCATTGGGACAGTGGGCTGGGGCTCTTGCAATGTCAGAGGACACTGTGAGGAGGCTGGATATGAGTGGCTGGCTGGGATGGAGGAAGAATACCAAGCATTGCTGAAGCAGGAAACTCCAGCAACTCTCAGTGAAGACTATACGGCTGTACTATTTTACAATTTCACCAACAGTATGTACATAAGGTTTCCAATTATTCTACATCCTTGCCAATAATTATTATATTACTAGAGGTCCAATGCACGAAATTTGTGCAAGAGTAGGCCTTCCTTCCCCCAGCTGCTGGCACCGGCTTCCCTCTGGCACCCGGGACCCAGGCTTCCCTTGCAGCCCCAGCTTCATCTGGAAGGTCATCTGGAATGACGTCCAGAAGGACGTCCGGTCTAATTAGCATATTACGCTTTTATTATTATAGATGGTTTTGATAGCAGCCATCTGAATGGGTGTGAGTTGATATCAGTTTGTGGTTTTGACTTAAAATTCCCTGATAATTAGTGATGTTGAGCATCTTTTCATATACTTGTTATTGATGTCTGTTTGTTTGTTTGTTTTTCTAATTTCAACCTTGTTGCAATCAAGAGCATTATTGAGACAGATTTTCTTTTAAAAAATCCACACAGCCCTAACTGGTTTGGCTCAGTGGATGGAGCATCAGCCTGCAGACTGAGGGGTCCCAGGTTCGGTTCCAGTTGGGGGCATGTACCTTGGTTGCGGGCACATCCCCAGTAGGAGGTGTGCAGGAGGCAGCTGATCGATGTTTTCTCTCTCATCGATGTTTCTAACTTTCTATCCCTCTCCCTTCCACTCTGTAAAAAATCAATAAAATATTTTTTTAAAAAAAATTAAATTAAATTAAATTAAAAATCCACACAAAAAACTAAAGGAATTCACAAAAATTGAAAGTGCTGGTTTTTAACTGGCTTTAAAATTATGTAGAACTAGACTATTCTTAACTACAACTTTGGGAATTTTGCTAAGTATGTCTACATTAGTTAAAGCCACATCTTCGTGGTCAAAGTAGTAAGACATGGGCACGTAGATGTAGGAAGCATAGAGTTCCAGGTTGATCTGGTGGTTGCAGAATAATAAACCACTATATAACTTAGTGGTTTATATTTAGGTTACAATTCTGCAGTTAGGCAACATGGGCTGGGCTCAGCTAGTTGGCTCTTCTGGTATCAGCTGGGCTCATTCATGCATCTGCAGTCATTTGCGAGGTCAGCTGGAGGCTGGCCAGTCTAGTATGGCCTCACTTAGATGGCTTGTTCCTCTGTTCCACATGGTCTCTCAACCCAAGCTAGTTGAGAACTGGACAGGCTTCCAAAAGGAAAGAACAGAAGTTCCTTGAATACTCAGACTTGGTGCGCCACTACTTCCATTGCATTCTACTTACTGAAGAAAATCACAAGGCCAGTTGAGATTCAAAGGAAGTGGGGGGGGGGGAGTTAATAATGGAGGAGCTGCAAAGTCCTATTGCAAAAACCATGGATACAGGGAAGAATGATGGATTATGCTCATTTTTGTAATCTACTACATCTATCACCCCTTCCCCCGCTCTGTGCATTCCACACCATCTGGTTCCTAACGGTCAAAAGAGTGTTTCATTTTAGTCTCCATGAAAAAAAATTGCTACCCACTGACACCCATTGTACAAATCTTAATGTTCATTGAGGTCCAGACAATAATAATATGTCAGAATTATTGCCTGGCCTACAATAACTATAAAACACCATTGACTGAATGCTGTATCCCAATATCAGAAACATTAAAAGGGAAAAGAGGATGAGAGAGCAAGGGAGTGATAGAGGAGTGTGTGGACGTGTGTGGTGTGTGTGTATGAGCTAGGGACAGTTAGATTCTGCAGGTCTTCTAAGGGGCTGCCAAACCGGGCAGTCTTAGAGGGCAGAGCCCAGCTCCCAGCGCGGACACTCCTGAGTGGCCAGCGCAGGCACAAAGACCACGCCATATTGAGAAACAGAGCTGCTTGAGACTAGGATCATGGCCTCAGCACCACCCAGTCTGGTCTCAGAAGCAAACCAGGACCCTGCAGCCACTGGGAACAGAGACCTGGGACCACAGCTACAGGCTCACAGACACCAAGAATCCAGACATCCTGGCGGCAGATTTCTGTGAGTATCAGAGCCCATACCCCTCCCCGCAGGCTCGCAGGCAGCGCCATAGTAACTGGTAGACCCACCCCTCGCTCAGGCCTCAATGCTGCTACAGGAATCTTAGCCTGGGAATGCGCAAACACTGGGAACTTGTTTCCCACAGCACAGGCTCCTGGACCCCGATTCTCCAGGCGGGAGGTAGCACTAAGCACCAGTGACTTGACTGTGTTTCTTATCACCTGCGCCTGGGGTCCCTGATTCCCACTGCATTCACACGAAGAGCCAGTGACTCCAATTCGTGGTGCATGCGCACACAGGGACCCTGATTCTCAATGCGAGGCCGCGTGAAGCAACAGAGACTCTGATACTGGATTCTTGGGGAACTCTGACTCCTGGCACACACTAGGGGGCTCTGATTTTCAACACACTCCAGGGGGGTCTCTGTTTCAGCATGGTGCAGGCGGGGCCCCTGATTCTAAGTGCGCACATGAGGCCACACTGAGTGGTGGTAACACTGACTCTGAGCGAGCCTGGTTCCCACCAACCCACGACAACCACACATCTTAGTGTCGGAGCTCTTCAATGACAGTAGGGTGGTGTGAAGCTCCCAATGCACACGGCCTAGGCCCACGCAACTCGAAGTTTGAACCTTCTGGAGATAGTCAGAATGGGGAGACGACACAATCCCCAGAGGAAAGAAAATGAG